TTTCTTTCTTTCTTTCTTTCTTTCTTTCTTTCTTTCTTTCTTTCTTTGGTTTTTCGAGACAGGGTTTCCCTGTAGCTTTGGAGCCTGTCCTGGAACCAGCTCTTGTAGACCAGGCTGGCCTCAAACTCACAAAGAACCACCTGTCTCTGCCTCCTGAGTGCTGGGATTAAAGGCGTGTGCCACCACCACCCGGCTTTGGTTTGGTTCTTTAAGATAAAGTCTTACTATGTCATCTGAGACAGCCTTAAATTCAATATTTTTCTGCCTCTGCTGCTCGAGTTCTGGGGTTACAAGTGTGTCCCGCTATGCCCAGATTTAAAAACAAACAAACATGTTTTTAGGGGATTGAATTTATGTCCTTGTGCTTTACAAATTAGGCTAACTCCTTACTCCTGAGATGTGTACTCTTACTTCCCCTTTCTGTAGCAGTCTGATTTAGTATTGTCAGAATCTGAAAGACACTGGAGGCATCAGCAGCGATTGGGTTTAGCACTCTCTTTGTTTGAATAGTCAGCTCTAGAGCAAGCTTGTCTAACCAAATGTGACACCACAGGCATGAGGCTTTCTGAAACACAACTGCCTCTTTTTTAATACTCAGAATAAGTACATTCTCTCAATGTACAAATCTAAAATTTAGATTTCTTAAGTTTCTTCCTTTTCCTTCCTTCCTTCTTCTCTCCCTCTCTCCCTCCCTTCCTTCCTTTATTCTTTCTTTCCTTCCTTCCTCCTCCTTCTCATCCACTCTCTCTCTGATTCCCCCCTCCTTTCTCTGGTATTGGAGATCAAGCCAGGGCCTTATGCATGCCAAAGAATTATTCTAACACTGAGTTAAGCCCTAAGCCCTAAGCCCTAAAGTTTAGATTCACAAATTAACTGTGAGTGGAAGACCAGCACAGATGCTTATTCTCCTTTCTCAGATGATGCCGAGATCTCCTGCCAACTTGAGCAGTAGACGGGTCCATTTGAAGCAAGGATTCAGCGACTTCTGGGTACTTGGGCAGTTGAACATCGAAAACACCTTCATGGGTGGTCCTCTGTGAGTGGGACACCCTTGGAGTATGCCCTTTTCTTAATCAAAATTTTTCAGATTAATTTAATTTTCCATGTCCCTGAGCCGGGGATAGGTATGGCCTGGCTAATTATTGAGATTTCCTCCAGGTGTTTCCCCTGTTGTCCTGATGAAACTTGGTTGACTTCTTTCTAATAGGCCCGCATCACTTCTGAAATTGTTGGACTCTAGTGTCCAAACCGAGAAGGAGTCACCCCCAGAGACCACCTCATATACCATAGCCGATGCAAAAGCATGAGGATTTTATTAATTCTGTCATGACAGGGTCCCCCAGCATTCGAGAAGCTGAGAGACCCCGACTAGCTGGTACAGTCTACTTGTAAAGGAGAAGGCCCCATAGAAACAAGAGGGGTTGTTCCTTGACCATTATGTTGGCTTATTCGAAAAGGGCTAATACCAATAATTGACTGGAAAACTATTGTCAGATCAGATGAGGTAAGAGGTCATTTTGACCCCGTTTCCCAGGGGACTGAGTCAAAACATACGTGTATGGGTAATTGTTCAGGAACTGAGTACGTGCATGTGTAGCTGTTAGGTCCTTGGTTCCCAGGGGAGGAGGGGAAACACTGAGGCACAGAGGCTGAGAGGGTTTGGAATTGTCAGAAATGGCTTCAGAATTGTCTAAAATCTTACAAAATCACACTGTTTTTAGCTCCTACTTTGTGTGAGCACTTTTGATCAAGCTACAAGTGTTTCAAGGCTTTTTTTCCCTTCTGCCTTTCGCCACCAGTCTCACTATGAATCTGGTGAAAGGTGTCTAGGTATAGCCATGCCACAGTCTGAATACTAGGCAATTTTGAAATATCCTCCGCTAAACTAATTTGTTTGCCACTTTAAAGCTCAACTATCCACAAAATCTAGGACATGGAAAAGATGTCAACAAATTCATTGCCTCATTGTAATATTAATTGCTCCTGGCAGCCCCATTCCTTGCAGAGTCCTTGTTCCCATCTGAAGGCCTCAGAGGCTGATTTTCAACTCTCTATATTCTCAAAGGGTGTTCTGGTCTTCTGAGCTCCCTCCAGAATCACATGTCAATCTGAGTTTGCAGCATTCTAGGGTATGGCTATCCCACTCCTCCAAATACCCCCAAACCAGATCCACAACAGCAACAACCCCAGTTCTGGTACCAGTTTTCTCCATTACTTATTTTTCCATAGCCATGACCAAAACTCCTGAGAGAACAACTTAAGGAGGGAGACATCCACTTTGGATGGCAGTTTCAGAGGGTTCAGCGCATGGTGGCTTGGTCCCACCCTCTTGGCAGGGGCATATGACAGAGAAGATTCTTCAACTCATGGCAGACAGACGCTGAACAGAGAGAGGCACAGGAGAGGCCAGGACAAGATACCCTTGAGGGTCTGTTCCCAGGGAGACCCATTTCTCTCAATTATCTTCTCCCACCTCCTAAAGTTTCCAGAAACTTTCAAAATAGCACCAACCACATGGATACAGGCCCCTAACACACGGACTTTCATAGAATGTTTCACATTCAAACCACAGTAGCAGCTTTCAGTCCGGTGCTGAGTAGGATTCACGGTTCCTTCAAAAACAAACAAACAGGCCTCGTGACTGGTCCCATTATTATACATATTTATCTAGAGCACGTTCGAGGAAATGATATCTAGCAAACTTCAGCCCCAAATGCTTATAGTTACTAAAGACAATTGAACAGTGTTTATTAGAATCATGTGCATCACTATAATGAAGTGCTAGGGGCTGAATCAAGGGCTGTGTGTGTGCTAAGCACAGTTATTGGAAGGTGAGCATTTTATAACCATCCAGGAAAGATCAATTTGGATGAAAGTAGATGCTCAATCAGAGGGGATGTTCACATGAGGAACAGGGTATTTGTATAACCTTGCTGTCTCTACAGAATACTTAAAGGCTTCAAGGGAATAAGGAGCAGATACACAGAGAATCACATACAGTGACAGGTGAAGAAAAATGACAATCTACAATAGAGACCAACAGATACTGTGTGCCTCATCAGTGTTCTTCTGAGGACATAAAACTACCCATCTAATTCAAGAACACATGAAATCACTGGCCCATAATCTTCAAAAATGTCAATGTCACAAGTGACAAGAATCAGCAAATATTCCAAGTTAGGGGTGGAAAAGAGACATGATCAAGTGCAACATTGGTGGGAGGGAAAAAAATGATCATTTGGGCAACTAACAAAATTGAAACTACATATGAACTGTAGTTTATATGAAAACAATCAGTTGCTATAAAAAAGTTCTAGAATTCCGTGCTAATGTGGCATGTAAAAGAATGTATTTGATGCAGGGAGATATCTCAGTGGGAAAAGTGCTTGCCATGCAAGTGTGAGGACCTGAGTTCAGGTCTCCAGTAGCATGTTAAATGCTGAGCACAGCTGAGACACTACCCTTCCAACACTGGCGGGTGGCGGTCCCTGGATTGGCTAACCAGCCAGTCTAGCTGAAATATGGAGCTCCAGGTTCATCGAGATGAAGTGAGAGGGCACGCCCCCTCACACACACGGAGGAAGTTCCTTATAGAAGATTAGACTGAGGGACCATTTATTTTCCATCTACTTTCAAGTTACTCAAAAGCAAACAAATAAACAAACTGAAATGCAGTGGTCGTGCGGGAGGAGAATCAAGCGAGGGCGTTCTACCAACTGAGCCATATCACCAACCAACCCGTATGCCATTTATAGATGAGCCCCTGAGTGCAGGCTTGGCACCTGTTAAAATCTTGTCCTGAATCCACTCTCTTTCCATACTACAGCAGCCCTCTTACCAGAGGGTGACATCGTGGGAGGCTCAGGTATGTTTTTTTTTTTTAATTCTGGGACTTCAAGAAAAGAGAAAGGAGTTGGGTTTGGTGGTGTAAGCCTTTAATCCTAGTCTTCAGGAGGCAGAGGCAGGGGCAGGCAGTTAAAGGTCAGCCTGGTCTACTGAGGGAATTCCAGGAGTTAGGTCTACACAGAGAAACCCTGTCTTGAAAAACCAAAACAAACAAACAAACAGAACAACAGACAACTGCCACAGAAAGAAGCAGCAAGGAGAATTGAGTTGTCCTGGGGAAAAAATGTTGTGTGTATTAATTTAGAATTGTCTTTAAATAGGACAAAATGAATGAATAAAGCAAAGGAGAGAAAGGTTAAGTGAGCTCCTTCCAGCGTGTGAGTTATGTTTTATGTGAACCGACTCAGAGACTGTTCAGTGGGAGAGACTCCGGCCACCTTCCATGACAAGTATGAACTTTAGAACAACCCTGGGGTTCGGGAGCTGAAGCAGAATTCTGAAAACTGTCAGTTACGGGGGGACGTCAATCACAAACATGGAGAGATTGGGTTTGTTTGTTTATTTGTTTAGTGTGTGGTTCTTTTTTCTATTTTGTGAGGCACAGTCTCACTATTGGCCTTGAAACTTGAAATCCTCCTGTTTCAGCTGTGTTGGGATGAAAGGCATTGGACACCGAACCCTGTAACAAAGCTGGTCACGTTTTCCATCTTGATCAGATTCTTTAATCCCTTTACCTCTGCAGCTGATCACTTTCATCCATTCCAACTTTTATCTTCTTACCCATCGGCCTCTGCAGGTCCCTTTTTCTCTAGACTCCTACCTATCAGGCGTCCGCCGCAGCAGCCAGGGTCTGTGCTGTCCAAGAGAGCTGGGGGGCCTGAGAGCTGAGATTGGGGCCTGCAGGACAGCAGCCTGCACTGTAAAGAGAGCAAGGCTTCCAGGGAGAAGCCCAGAGGGAGGCTGATTAAAAGAGATCGACTCCTCAGGGAGCCCTGCCCTGCCTGCAGTGCAGAAGGCTCTTGACTGTCCTAGCCTGGCTCTCCCAAAATAGTTCAGACCTGGCTCCCTTAGGGCAGTGGTTCTCAACCTTCTTAATGCTGCAACCCTTTAATACAGCTCCTCACGTTATGGTGACCCCAACCATAAAATTTTATTTGTTGATATTTTATAACTGTAATTTTGCTACTGTTGTGAATCATAATGTAAATATCTGACATGCAAGATATCTGTTATGTAGCTCCTGTAAAAGGATCATCATCCCCCCCCTCCCCGCCCAGGGGTGCAACCCACAGGTTGAGAACCATTGTGCTAAGGACTCTGGGTGTTTTGTTGTTGTTTTCAAGGTAATGGTGTTGAATTTTATACACTGATACTTGTGTTGATGAGCTGCTAGTCACCCCACAGAACCACAAATGTCCAGAGCTACAGAAATGCTACTTATGGGATGCCTCGCTGTATTTTCTGGCACTGATCCCAAAGAGAGGCAGCATTAAAGTGTCCTCAAGTGCCAAGACCCAGTGGGAAGTTTGACAGTGCTGAAAACTGCAGCTGTCAAGTCTCCTCTCCTCTCCTCCCCTCCCCTCTCCTCTCTCTCCTGCTTTCCCTTTCTCTCTCCTCCTCTTCCTTCCCTTTCTCTCTTTTCTTTTCGTCTCCTTCCATCCTCCCCCTCCTTCCTTCTTTCTATCCCTCCCTCCTTCCCTCCCTTCCTCCCACTCTCCCTTCCTTTTCTCTTTTCTTAGACTGTCCCTCAGGAAGCTCCAAAACTGAACCAAGCTTGTGAATGAATAAAAGGACTTTATTCTCGGAAACTAGATGGGCCCTCGTGTAACAAATAGCCACATCTAGTTTTTAGATGCATTTTCTACAAGAAGTTTAGTCGAAGCACCCCCAACCCCCCAGCCAGACCTGTCACAGCTAGTCTGGAGGCTGGGGCAGGAGGATCACAAGATCAAGGCCTGCGGTCCCCGGAGTGAGTTCAAGGCCAGCTTTGACAACTTAGACTCAGGCTCTAAATAAAAAGCAAAGAAGACAAAAGATTTGTGTGAGCCGAGCCGGGCAGTGGTGGCGCACGCCTTTAATCCCAGCACTTGAGAGGCAGAGGCGGGCGGATCTTTGTGAGTTCGAGGCCAGCCTGGTCTACAAGAGCTAGCTCCAGGACAGGCACCAAAGCTACAGAGAAACCCTGTCTCGAAAAACCAAAAAAAAAAAAAACACCAAAAGATTCGTGTGATGGCGGGGAACACAGCTTATCAGCAGAGTGCTTGCCTAGAAGGCACAGTGCCCTAGATTCAATTCCCAGCATCTTCCCACTGGAAAAAACAAAACAAAACAAAACATTTTTCAGTAACACAGGAGGCTAACGAAGGAGGCTCTGGAGCCCATGGCCAGCTTGAACTATTGTGCTGGTGAGGCGGGTCATGTTACTTGGGAATAACCTTTGAAACCATATTTCAACATCCTGAGAACACAGATACTGAGAATGTTCTAGGGCTCTGAGTGTCTCTTGTGAAGGAGATCTGGCAGGAGGCTGGGATTGCAGGAGGCCAACATGCTGCCTTTAAAAAGCTCCACGAGAGGACCGGGACAGGCCACGCGACTGCAGGTGGAGCCACCTCCAAGTCCACGAGGGGACTGAGACAGGCCACGCGGCTGCAGGCAGAACCACCTGCAAGTCATCCTCTTGAAAGCCTCTTTCCGTCTTTCTTTCTTTCTCATTCATTCTTTCTTTCCTCCTTTTTAAAATTTCTTTATTCTATGTGTCTTTTACACCATGTATTTAGATCCCTTTGCCTTCATTTCCTCATCCCTTTGCGTCTGCCCTCCACCCATGTACCCACCCAAATAAAACAAAATTTTAGACAAAAGAAGAAAAAAATTAAGATAGAAAGGAAAAAATAAAAATCTCATCATGGAAGCTGCACCATGACACAGTGAGTCATGCCATAAACCCCTTTGTCCGTATATCCTGCAAGTGTTCATGGCAAAGAGTTCTGGTTCGAGGTCTCTGGTTTCTGTTGTGCTATCTCTACAGATGCTGGACCCTCACTGGGACTCTTGTGGGTATCCTGTTGTTGCCCTGTGCTGTGGAGATCCTGCAGTTTTGGGTCTGTGGGTCAGGTCCCTTCACATGCTCTAGCAGATCATAGCTGGGGTGGATGATGGGGCAGGCTAAGTCATAACTTTGGGTCTGGGCCTGGGCAGCTGTGGGGCTGGTCTGCCAAATGTGAAATGGGACAGCTCTCCCATGCTCACAACTTTGGGCCTGGCTTACCCACACTGCACTCACAGGGTCGGCTCTACTGTGCTGCCCTGGCGACGTGCAGGCCTTGAGAGCCTCTTTCTTTTCCAAGACTCTGGGTCTCTATGGGAGCCAGTACCAGTTTGGCTGCTAAGGACATTGGTTTTGTGAGCCATTCTTCTAGTCACTGGGCTATGCATATTGAGCATTTCAAGACTTTGAATTCCCTGGATAATTTCTGTTGAGTTGCAAGTGAACCTTTGTCTGTGCTCTCTGTCTCCTGAGAAAACTCAGACTTTAAAATGTTGGTGACTTGCTAACATTCTAAAAGCCTTCACTGATCTGGGAGTGGTGGCTTACACCTGTAATCCAATCATTTGAGAGGCTGAGGCAAGAGAATTTCCTTGCGATCAAGGCCAGCCTAGGCTACATATTGAGTTCCAGCTTGGGCGACAGTAGGAGTTTCTGTTTCAAAAGTCAATACAACAGCTGGGGAGTGTCACACACAGAGAAACTCTGTCTCAAAAAACACAGCAAACAACAACTACAAAACCAAAAGCAAAATAAAAAAATCAATACAACTTCTACTAGTACTACTAATCAGGACGAGAGGAGGAGGGGAAAAACAAGGAGGATGGCAGAGAAGGAAGAAAGGAAGAAGAGAAGGAGGAAAAATTCCTTCTGAAAAATCAACCTGTAGGGTCGGGCGGTGGTGTGCAGGCCTTTAATTCCAGCACTCAGGAGGCAGAGGCAGGTGGATCTCTGTGAGTTCGAGGCCAGCCTGGTCTACATCACTAGTTCCAGGACAGGCTCCAAAGCTATAGAGAAACCCTGTCTCGAAAAACAAAAAAATCAACCTGTAGAATTCACCCTAGAGATTCATACAAGAAAACCTGTAGGATTCTGGGGTTATCTGACACCCTAGAGATTCACACAATAAAACCTGTAAGATTTTGGGGTTATCTACCTGACACCCTAGAGATTCATACAACAAAACCTGTAGGATTCTGGGGTTATTTACCTGACACCCTAGAGAGTCAGACAATAAAATCTCTGGGTACATCCTTTTGAACTTCCTCAGAAGGAGCAAATTTTCATCTGTTTGTTCAGTTATAATTGTTGCCCAATAAACCATCCCAAGACTTATATGTATAAGAGAATGGTTGCCTTTCTTTGTTTTGTGTTTTCTCTTTAGTATAATTTTTATCCATTCTTTGAAAATCTTCTCATTATAATTTTTATTAAATATTTCAGAATTTCATAAAACACACCCTGATCACACTTCCCACACCTCCCAGGACCATTCCCCCACACTTGTGCCCCTTCAACCCACCAAGTCCAATTTGTGTTGCCCATATACTCATTGGAGCATGTTCAAACACCCAGTGGCCAATCCCTCAAAGAAAACTGAGTCTTTTCCCACCCACCACCAGAAGCCATCAACTGTGAAGAGCTACACTTCAGCATCTTTTTTTAAATTTTTTTTTATTTTGGAGGCAAAAAAGATTTATTTCTACAATCAATTACATTAGAATTTAGCATGACTACAAGTATAGTTATGAAAACATTAAAGAATTTGATTATTTATAAGGTGACATTATTTTTTTGTTTTTTTATTTTTCCATTCAAAAATTTATACTTCCTCCCCTCCTCCCATTCTCCTCCTGCTCCCCCACTCACCCTCCTCCCTCCCCCTCCCTCCTTAAGAGAGGACAGGGTACCCTGACCTGTGGGAAGTCCAAGGCCCTCCCCTCTCCATCCAGGCCTAGGAGGGTGTGCATCCAAATGGATTAGGATTCCAAAAAACTAGCACATGCAATAGAAACAGGTCCCGGTGCTATTATTGATGGCTTCTCAGTCCGCCCCCATTGGCAGCCACATTCAGCGAGTCCGGTTTGATCACTAGTTCTGTCCCAATCCAGCTGGATTTGGTGAGCTCCCATTAGATCATGCACACTGTCTCAGGGGGTGGACACTTCAGCATCTTTATCACAATTTCAAAAGCTTCTTGTTTAAACTTTTCTTCTTGGGGGGGGGGGGGTTGGAGTGGGAAGAGGCTGTCACAGAATCCTTCAATGTCTGTCATTCTCAGATATGAGTCTTCAGCAAAAGAAACTTCCTTGTCCACAGCAGCTGGAGACAGCATGGATCATGGACTTCCACGTGGTTTCCAGAGGCAGCTTGGAACACTGACCTCAACCTCATCCTTGGGAGCAGCACAGATTGTGGACATCGACATGGAGTATCCTCCCTGTTTTGTGCTGGAATGGTGGCTTGTTTTGTATGCAGGTTTTTTTTTTATATGTACAGTTTTGTTGTAGAGCTCAGGACAGTCTCAAGTGAGTAACTCTCCTACTTGTGCCTCCTGATACTGGGGTAACACACACGTGCCACTGTTCCCAACAAAAGATTGATTGACTCTCTTGTCCTCACAGATTCTGCATTAGGAAGTCTGACAGGGAAGAAAGGCAATGGCTCAACTCTGTTTGGTGAGGTCTGGGTCCTCCACCAGGAAGAAGGTGCGTGAAACAGAGGCTCGAAGCTGGAATCCACTGCCTCACCCATGTATCTGGCAGCTGATGGCTGGACACATCTACTTACCGTCTCTCAGTGGAGTCTCTACTCAGAACTATTTGGACTTCCGAACATAGCAGCTGGCTTCCAAGAACCAGCGTCCCCAGAGATGAGGGCCAGAGGCATGTGAGATATTTCTGTCCAGGCTCGAGGTCTCATGTTAAAATTGGAATGTGGGGTGAGATGATGTATTGCAGTCATCTTTGAAAGATCATAATAAACAGCCGTAGATTTGACTTTCAGAAACAGCTAAAATTCTTTGGGAGTTAAGCTTGATAAAGAAGAGAGGGGAGTGAAGCTGTTTGGATTATAAACTAAGAGTTATGAGCTGAGGATGTGGTTCAGTTGGTAGAGTGCTTGCCTGGGACACACAAGGCCCTGGGTTGAATCCACGGTGCTGCATAAACCAGGCCTGTTGGCACACGCCTGTAATCTCAGGGAGGGGTGGGGATACGCTCCAGGCTAACAAGATCTGTCTCAAAACAAACAAACCAGACAGAACATCCACACCCACACCCACAAAACGTTTTTGAAAAAGTGTGCACTCCAATGGTGACCGTGGCCACTTTGAATTGGCCCTGTACAGACTGGTGTTCCCCTCAGGAGTACTCGAAAAGCTGCCTGGTGGACTGCCACATTCATGCAGGAGAAAGAAGCCATGCTTCTAATCAAGAGTCCCTAGACTGGTTGGGTTTTATGTATGGGATATTTTTAATTTTTGTAGAGATGAGATATTATAGATCCATTAACTGAAGTTGGGTTGGGTTATCTTTGACACTCGACTCTTGGAGACAGGGTCTCATGTAGCCTAGCCTTCCCAGGCTGGTCTTGAACTCACTATATAGCATCAATGATGCCCTTTATCCTCTGAGTGCTGGGATTATAGGTGGGTATCACCACACACATGTGATGCTGGGGAAGGACTCAGGGCCTTCCTAGGTGGGTACCATCCTGAGCTATGTCCAAGTAGGTCACACTTTTGTTGTTGTTGCTGCTAATGTTGTCCGTTTGCTTTTTGAGACATGGTTTCTCTGTGTAGCCCCGGGTGTCCTGGAACTGACTCTGTAGACCAGGCTGGCTTGGAATTCACAGAGATCCGATTGCCTCTGCCTCATGATTGCTGGGATTAAAGACGTGTGCACTACTGTCTGGCTTACCCCACTCTCTCTTCTCTCCTCTGTCCTCTCCCTCAAATCCCCTTTCTGAGACAGGATCTCTGCAGCGCTGGCTGGTCCTTGCGCCAAGCTGGATTTGGAAGGCTGGCAGTTCTCCCACTATAGCTTTAAGGTTTTTACTTGTATTTGTGTGTGGAGAGTGTGTGTCTGTAAACACATGTGTACATGTGACTAAACATGTGTATGTAACCTGATAGGTCAACCATTGTGTATCTTTCTCTATTTCCACCTTATAACTTTATATTTTTACATTTTTACTTATTATTATTTTGTTTTTAATTTTCAAGTCAGAGTCTCACTACGTAGCATCGACAGGCCTGGAACTCACATTGATCCACCTGTTCTATTTCTATTTCCTGGTCCACACACCACTAATCCTCAGCCAGTTTACTTTTGAGTCAGAGTTCACTGGCAGGCTGTGCTACCTGGCCAAAGAGCTCCAGAAATCCTCTGGTCTCTACCGGACCAGCTTGAGGGTTACAGGCATGAGCTACAATCCTTGGCTTGCACGTGCCGGGGCGGTGAGCACAGATCCTCGTGCTTATGCGGCACGCACCCTACTGATGGAACCATCTCCCCAGGCCCTGTTACAATCCCTGTTACAGTGTTGAGTGCTGGGATCACAGGCAGGCCACACCGTAGCTGACTCAAACACTTTCTAATGGTGTTTCCTAAAACTTTATTCTGCAAAATATTAGTTCCTGGAGATGGGAAGTTCTCTTCCTGTTGCAATATGAAATATTTCCTCACTAGCCCAGAACGGAGTATAATAAAGGCTAATTTATGAGGGGGGTAAACTCACAGAATGAGTAGCAATCTGCAGTCCTCTGCGTGTGCTGGGAACTGGAACTGAATCCAGCAACCAAAGGGCTTGCACCCTCCCCTCCATCTGCCTACGTAGGACACGAGACCACGCCCGTTAGCATCCCTCAAACCATTGGCTGAAGGAGTTCCCACAGCATCTTCCCAGATACAACTAATTACAAATTCAGCTGAGAATGAAAACGTCTCCACAAAGGAAACACATCTGTGGAGCTGGGCTTGCCCTAGCTCTGTGGCACAGCCAGGAATTTGTCAGGGAGCTTGAACTTTAGAAGGAAAGCGTGGAGCAAGGGTGTTTGATGTTTGAACTCAGAAGCCAAAGACTCCTCTTTCAAAGAGATCTTGCTGCTGTCTCTTGGAACAGGTGAGAACACTGCTGTGCAGGCTCATCCTTAAAGAAAGACCGAGAACTGATCACAGCAGCTGCTGTGTAGCTGATTTGCTGTTTGTTCTGTGTTCGTTTTTAATTTCTGATTAAACTGGTACCAGCTGATCTGATTCATTTGGGGACTTCAAGGCCACCTGGGGCCATTTGATAAAGGCTCATTAATATAACACAATTGTGTTGCCCAGGTTTCCAGGCTGCTTTCACAAACATGAAAGGCAATCTGGGGTATAAATGGTAAAAGGAACCGCTGAGCTGGAAGAAACCTGAGAGATTATCTCCTTCAGCTCCTTCATTGTAAGGATGAAAACTGAGGCTTAGCTTCTGTTGGGCGACTTCCCCAAGAAAGCATGCGTCAATGCCAGCTAAACCAGTACCCAGTGCCAAGTGCACTTTACCTGACGCAGCTCTTCCAAACAGAAACGGTGTGACTGTGTGTCCTGGGCAAAATCTAGATCCTTAGGCGGCAGAAGCAAAGCTCTATGGTTTTAGATTTATTCTTATTATTTTTAATTATTTGTGGATGTGGCATATGCACATGAGCGCAGGTGTTCATAGAGGCCAGAGATGTTGGGTCCCCTGGAGCTGGAGCTATAGGCAGTTGTGAGCCAACTGAGGTGGGTGCTGGGAACTGAACCTGAGTCCTCTGAAAGGGCAGTGTGTGCTCTTAACCACTGAGCCATCTCTCCAGCACCAGAAGCAGGATTGCATCAGTTCTTAACGGCTAGCTCTTTTAGATGCTCTCCAAATTGTTTCTCTTCCCCCGAGCCTCTGCTTTCTTGTCTATAAAACAGTATTGATTCTGTACCTAGCTGACTTGTGGAGAAATCCTAAGGGTCAAATGAGGTAATGCTTTGGAAACACTTTAAATAAACTTTGTGGTTCTGGGGATGGAGCTCAGCGAGGTGGAGGGCTTGCCTAGCAGTTTCAAAGCCCTGGGGTGAAAGGTGGGTGAGGTGGTGAACAGTGAGAGAGGATCAGAAGTTCAAGGTCATCCTCCTGATCACAAGGAGTTCAAGGCCAACGTGGACAATGTGAACTCCTCTCAAAAAAAAAAACTCACAAAGTAGCCATTTTCTTTTCTTCTCCCTTTGTCAAGGACACACAATGAATAATTGAGAGCAAATCCACAAAGCATTTGCTCAAGGACTCTTGCAGATAAAAAACAAGCACCCACAGCTACGACCCTACTGGGCTTACTAGTTGAAGGATCAGATGTTTGCCTTGAATATTCTTGGTGCTGAGAGGCCAGTTAGATAGGCCTGTCACAAATGCTTTAGGGCGAGGCTACAAACAGGGAGGGGCTCTTATACCCCGGGTCTGTACACAGAGAAGTTGTAAGCAAAGCAAAGATGTATCTTAACAAACACACTCTTATCTCGCTATGACGAGGAACACACCTTCATAATAACCCAGAGCTGTGTGAATATAATATTCTCGGAATTTCACACACACAAATGTGTCTTCAAAGAAAGAATCAAACCTGGTCCCAGGCCCAGGCACCTGGCCCCTGCTCATAGCCCACGGGTGTACTTTTCATCTGTGGACACTGGCTGCACTACGCAGGCAACCCCTCCATGTATCTGGCCATCTCAGTTCCCATATTCAAACTGGATCAAACATTCCCTTTGAAAAATCCATTACCAGTCCATCCGCTAGACCAGGAGATGTGTACTAGAAAGGTGGAGCCTAGGGAAAATGCTAACTGGCTCCCATTGCAGGCTCAGGACATTGGGATCAGGCATTGATTCCAAGGAATTTGAAGGCTCAAAAAGAGTATTGCAGTAGTGGTCTAGATTCAGGGACTTATATTTCGAAGCAGGTCTCTTATCTGCCATTTCACCGCCGCCCTGACTTTGCCAAGAGAGGCAAGGCCCGTGGAAGGACAATCAGGATGTAAAATAAACATACAGAGCTGGGGAGATTGCTCAGGAAGTTAAGATAAGAGCACTGGCTGTTCTGCCAGAGGACCTGAGTTCAATTTCCACAACCCACACGGAGGCTCACAACCATTCGTAACCCAGCCTCCCAAGAGCTAGGATTCCAAGTCCACCCGTCAAACAGAATCGGTTCTTGTTCTTAGAGAGTGCTGAGAAGCAAAGGGGTAGAATTCCTTGCAGAGCAGGTCTCCCGCAGGTGCCGATAACGTCTGTGTCTGGACTATCAGGCAGTCTAGTGTACCCTCACTGCTGGTTCCAAATCAGTTGAAGGACAGTCTCAAGAGCCTACTAGGAACCCCAGTTTTCCTAGTGAGAGCAGAGAGTACAGCTTGACCTTGTGACCAGGGGATTGCTGTCAGTCAGCATTCTACCATCTTGCTCTTCCTGTGGGTAGGGGTGCTGATCCTTGCTATCAAAGAGGAGATGCAGAGGGATGTGGGCCTCCCAGGGAGGCCGTGGGTCTCAGTCATCTCTGCCTGGCACATGGGAATAAAACCAGAGAGGGCAAGGGGCAGACAGACTCAGCAAGAAAGAGTGAGCGAACAATGGACCTTCACCCCATCTGTCCCCAACATGGGCCGCTCCTCCCCAAGGCCCAGAGCCCAGAGCAGCTTTTGTTGCTTTACTGAAGGACAAAGTGTGAGCAGAAGTCACTTCAGGGCCAACAGTGGCAGAAGAGACGAGTGTGTCTTTCCTACTCAGAACATTGCAGAACAGGGGTTCCTGGAAGCTAGATTTCTAAAAGAACTCCCCTTTTTACAAGAATCTGCCAGCCACTCCATGTGGCTCTGGGTGGGTGAATGAGGTGGCAGAGAGGACATATGTAATTTACAAACTGAGCCGTGGCAACTGGAACTCTTGATACCAGTTTTGAAAAGTAGCCAAGCGCTTCCTGCTGGGAGTCCCACCCGATG